GGTTACTCTGGATCCAGACACAGCTCATCCCCAGCTCATCATTTCTAATCTGAAATCTGTAACTCATAGAGAAGTTCCCCAGGAAGTTCCTTCTTCCAAGAAGAGATTTAAGAAGAGACAGTGTGTGGTGGCTTCTCAGGGCTTTTCTGCAGGGAAGCATTACTGGGAAGTGGATGTGGGATTCAAAAAAAGATGGTGTTTGGGAGTGTGTCAGGATAATGTGGACAGGCAGGACAAAGACGGAATTTTATCTCCTCAGTATGGGTACTGGATCATTGGACAGAGCAAAGCAGATGGGTATTTCACATTCAATCCAAAGAGAATCTGTTTATCTCTAAAGACCAACCCTACACGAGTGGGGATCTTCCTAGATTATGAGGGTGGGGATATTTCCTTCTTCAGTATAAATGACCAATGTCACATTTATACCCTGGAGCATCAGTTTGAAGGCTTATTGAGGCCCTTCATTGAGCCTTGGTCATATTCTGAGGAAAATCAGATGCCCATAGTCATCATTTAGTGTCCTGGTGATCAGAGAGAAAAGCCCCTTCTCAAAGGATCACCACAACCCCAGACAAATAGCCTAGATCCTACCCAAAAATGACCACACCTTTCTCTCCAGTGGTGATGCCATGATTCACGTTCCGTTTTAGACTACTCCAATGCATGCATTGGAAATGGGTTTTGTAAATACCAACTATATCTAGCTAAGTAACATTTTCAGTGCCTCATCTGTTAATCAGTAGTAGTGATTCCCACCTTCTGAGTCACAGCAAAAGTTAAAGAAGAAATGAGTATGTGTCATACTTGCATCATTAATGGCATAGTATTTGCTAATAATTTCTGTATATTAAACTTTTTATCTGTTTATTTTTTTCACATTTATTTTTCTTTAGTCCAAATCACCTTTGGAATAGTTACTGAGCACCTGCTCTGTGGGGCAAATAAATAAAGAAGAGGTAATATTCCAACTCATTCTATAAGGCCAACTTTACCATGTGGCTAAAACTAGATGAAGATATTGCAATAGAATAATATTACCAACAAATATTCCTCAAAAATGCCAAAGTTTTAAATACAATTTTATCAAATTGAATATAAAAATAAATTCAGGGAGGTGGAGCAAGGTGGTGGCATAAACATTCACACACCCAAAACCTCTATAAAATTGTAGAAGGATCCAAGCAAATATTAATCCAATAATCTCAGAACTCTGGACATCAGTTAAAGGGTTAGTGGAGAAAGGGGAACCCCAAATCAAACATACAAATCATGGAAGAGAAGAAGTCACTGACCACTGTTATCCCATCCTCCAAATCAGCTTAACTTAGTCATCTCGAGGTGACAGAAAGTGGTATGGTGAAGGTCAGGTTTTGTAAATAACTATCCCAGATGAAAGCACCATGGGCAGGGACACCTGAGCACATAGAATTAAAAAAGTGTACTGTGGTGCATTGCAAACCTGAGATCACATGGGTCCTGGGAAAAAGCGATGTGCAGAGTGCAATGTAGCTCAGACTGTGAATATCCCAGCCATGGTGAAGGCATTTTGGGCAAGGAAAACTGATCAGATAGACCTAAGAAATGATACTGTTTTACACTTAAGGCCTGAGACCACATAGGCTCCAGGAGGAAACTACATAGAGAGTTGAGTACAGACCAGACTTTGTGAAAAACCAGGATCCAATAAAGATACTATAGAAGACTGTAGATGAATTGATGCATTTGAGTTATGGTGTTGGAAAAGAATATTGAAAATACTATGCACAGCTAGAAAAACAAATCTGTCTTGGAAGAAGTACAGCCAAAATGTACCTTAGAAGCCAGGATGGTAGACTTTGTCTTTCATACTTTGGACGTGTCATCAGGAGTGACCAGCCCTGGGAGAGGGACATCATGTTTGGTAAAGTGGAGGGTTAGCAAAAGGAAGGAAGACTCTCAGTGAGATGAATTGGTATGGTGGCAACAGCAATGAGCTCAAGCGTAACAATGATTGTGAGGATGATGCAGGACCAGGTAGTGTTTTGTTCTGTTGTGCAAAGGAGTACTGACTTGATGATACCTAACAGCAGCAGCAACCAGTAGGTATACATGAAAACATCGATCTACATTGGATATCACAGCATTATCTAAAGCTTCATGACCCTGTAAGGAGCTCTGTAGAGGGTGCAATACAGCCTCAACGTTGTGAACAGCTAGGTCTATGACAAAGAGACACACTGAACACAGCATGACCCAAAACTCCTTAATAGGCAGACTTGGCATAGGACAATGTAGAGAATTCAGCAATAACCAGAGATTCCACGTGTTCTGGGAAAGAAAAATACAGTGAGCACAGTACAGACCTGAGTACACGAAGAGTTGAGGACACATGGTACTGTGCAATGATGCAACCAGTGTGGAAATCTGAAAGATGCTTATTTTAAAAGTTGGAAATAAAAATACCATATGACCAAAAATCCTGTACTTGGTATACATTTTAAAGTAATAAGAGCATTGACACAAATATATATATAGATATATAGACATATAGATATAATTGTTGTTAATGTGCTGTGGAATTGGTTCTGACGCATAGCGACCCTGTACAGGGTTTCTGAAGCCGTAAGTCTTTATGGGAGCAGAAAGCCTCATCTTTCTCCCATGGAACCTTGCGGTTTGCAGCCCAATTCATAACCACCACGCTACCAGAGCTCCATATAAATAGTTGTTGTTAGTTGCCATGGAGTTGGTAGTGACCTTAGATTCATCCATCTCACTGGAAGTCTTCCTCTTTTTCTCTGATCCTCCACCTGCCAAACATGATATCCTTCACCAGCGGCTTGTTTCTCATGACAATATGTCCGAAGGATGAGAGATGAAGTCTGGTCATACTGGACTCCAAGAAGCACTCTGGCTGCACTTCTTCCAACACAGACCTATTGGTTCTTTTGGCAGCCCATGGCACTTTCAATATTCTCCTCCAACACTACAACTGAAAAGCATCAATTCTTCTACACTCTTCCTTATTCACTGTCCAGCTTTCGCATGCATATGAGGCTACTGAAAATACTGTGGCTTGGGTCAGGTGCACCTTAGTCCTCAAGGTGACATCTTTGCTCTTCAACTTAAAAAAACGTCTTGTGCAACAGATCTGCCTAATGCAATACGTCGTTTGATTTCTTGACTGCTGCTTCCATGAGAGTTGATGGTTCATTAAAGAAGAATGAAGTTCTTGACAACTTCAATCTTTTCTCCATTGATAAGAATGTTGTTTATTGGTCCAGTGGTGAGGATTTTTGTTTTC